CCACCCCAATGTATAACCAGACACAGAGTCCTACTAACAGATAAAACCCTATAATGGGCTTAACACCCATCAATACCACCAAAGCCTGGGAAACAGCCAGGTTTTCAAGGACTTCTTAAACAATATCAAGATGGAAGACATACAAGGAGAGAATTTGTGTCATTTGAAAATATTATTTTAAATAAGGTTATTCTTTTTTTAAACAAATGACATTGGGGTATCATACATCTTGGAGCCTTCATCTATTTTACTACCTATTTTACCTGTTTTACTATCTTAAAACAGATAACACGAAAACATTAGCAAAGATATCATGAAGTGGGAGTTGGACCCAGAAGCTACACAAAAGACCGCAAGAGATGCATATAGGTTATGGGTTGCCAATTCCAAGATTAGAAAAAACAGTACTGTTGTCTCTTTCAAACTTTGTTAAAAGCAGAACCCAATAGAAAACTAGATTCATAATATTTGTTCTCTATAACTTTGGAAAGACTTTTTTGTCCCTAAATATCTCCAAATTGTATGCCTCAATTAACCTGTTAATTATTCCCATTTGGGGATTGAAACAACAAAGAATTTAATGAAGAAACGGAGAATGAAGTGTAATGGGGAGCACTTGAAGGCTAGGTTTCAAATCTCCTTCCAGGCATGAGGCAATCCTCTTATCCAACAAAATAGCTAGCTAAGCAACCTAGAATAAAGAAAAAAGGGATTTTTATGGCACCCTGAAACATGTTATAGCTGTTAATAATGTGAAGGTATTGCGTTCTCAAGTTTTAAAGATGAATATTCAAAAGCAAGGCCAATTTAATACTTCGTTCTCAGCAAAAGAACAATGGGTGATATTATTCCTCTAGAAAATACAAGCTCTTACTAGCTCTTGGGACAACTGACTCCAAGGTTCAATAAACAGACTTGCTTTGGAGCTGCTTGTCCCACAGCATTGAAACCCCGTACAAAGCGGATCACAAAAATACAAAATACCAATAAGTAATCATTACACACATCAATAAAATAATCACCAAAATACAAGCTAAACTGGGGCCAGGCAGGTGGCTTGACTTGTGTCCATGAAGGTTCTTCAGAAAGGCAATCCTAGAGCTAGGATGGCTAAGGAGTGAGAAAAAGACAATGACAACATCCGGTTGCTGTCCTTGGAAAACAGCCCAGTTTCAGCTAGGTTACCATCCCTAGCTTGCAACTCCTACCCTCAGGTTTCCCTGATACTTAGTCTTCCTAGAACTGCAAGGTAGCTTTTTCTCCAGCCTCCACCTTGGCCATGTAGGAGAAGGTGAAGTAAGAGGAAAGGAAGGCTGTGTGGATAGAGCAGATAAGATATAGCTGGTTTAACCGGGAGAAGATGAATCGGATGAAGGCATTTCTGACAGCACAAGGTTCTTCCATTATAATTCAAGGTGACAGCCAGTAGCCTTTCTCTTTCCAATGATCTTCTTTGCCATGTTCTGATTTTATTAAGCTTGTGATCAAGAATGTCATTATCTTGTCAGGTTACCTCTTCTTTTTTAACCAGTCGATGCAAGTCAAAAGTTGCCAGGCCTTCCCTTTCAGGAAAAAGTAAATCCAAAGTAGAAATCAAGATGAAAGAATGTTGTAAATGAAACTTGAGTTGGCAAGCAAACTAAGTTCATTACCAATGCAAATGGACTGGTTACACCAGGGAGCATGAATTAATAGCAGACTTTGCACATCCATAAATCCTTGCTGGGGCACATGCATATCCTTGTGCAAGAAAGCAAATCATACTTTTAATTCTGCGTGGCTGCAGCCTTGACTTCGTACATTATGTTATGTATCTAATACATTATACTATCAACAGAAGAAAGAACACTTGAACATGACTCTGGAAGGATTTATACATAGATATCCATTTTGCATTGTTTCTCTTTTTTATTCTGGCAATCATTCCTCTTCTATTTGCCTTCTTTTGTCTGTTACGGTAATCTGTTTCTTCCATCTTCACTAACCACAATGATTCTTGTTGATCTCTGTTCATTCTTATTTTGACAATTGTAAAAGTGTTTTCCACTGAGGCATGCCTTTCAGATTGCAATCATATGAATAAATATAAGCCATGCCTCATTTCTGAGGCACCTGCAGTTCTAGTACAAGATCTGTCTTGAAAAATATTTAGTACTACTGCTCCATAAATGCCTGTTCTACTCATTTCTTTTGCAATTTGTGGGGGTTATTTTCTTTGTAGGAGGTCTAGCAAAGGTAGTCCTAGGATTGCTAACCTCTTGCCTTGACCATGTTTCAGTGCCTTCAACACCAGCAGCATAATGTTGAGTTGTGAAAAACGTTGCAGCATTGGTAGAACAATTACAGGCCAGATAACAAACCCACATCATGATTGTAACATGACTTTATTGAACATGTTGCAGAATCATCGTGAGCTATGGTAAGAATGGAATATACAAGACATGCAAGTGTGGAGAAATCCTGCTTCTTTAAACAAGGATGGGAAACTTGAGGTATTCTAGCTATTCTGAAGTAGTTGATTATCTCTGGAGGACATTGGATTGCCTATCCCTCCACTAAAAGATTGTATTTTTT